ATTTTTAATTCTAATACGAGTATTTTTTTACCATATTTTTAATTCTAATATTTAATGATTAATTGTTATTTAAGAGTGTTAATTATTTAAAATAGAAAATAAGAACATTTAAGTGTGACGTTTTAAAAAAGGAAAGTAAGAACCTGTAAGTAAGACGAAAAGTGTAACAGTAACCAAGATTGATTAATAAAATTTGGAGTAATAGAAGACATAGGATGTGTTTGACAGAGATAAGTCTTTGTCTTCTTTATTTTATACTTACTATTTAAAAAGCCTTTAAATTAAAGCTTCTAGTTGTATGTTTGACATGACAATTTTTAAGAGCTTTTATAAAAATAAAAGAACTTTTTTGAGATGCTGCAGTGAGTAGCATCTCAGATAAGTCCGTAGCTTTTAACATCAATTACTCCCAACAGCTTGTATACAAAACAGAACTAAATCAAACAGTCAGCTTTTTATCACACAGCTACTACCTTTTTTCTTTTAAGATCTTATCAGTCACTAAAAGCTAATAGTTACAAAAAAAAGTTCATAAAAGTACATTTTCATCTAGTTGTACCGAACATACCCATAGAGCCCGTTTGGTGACCCCTTTTTCGGCTTATCAGCTAGCTTTTTCACCAAACACGTAACTTTTGATTTTGCGCGCTAAATTATTTAATAAACAGAAAAAGTAAGGTTAGAGTTACTTTTCCGGTTGTATTGGCCGAAGTTACTGTAAAGGATCATTTTAGCTATTTTTTGATATATTTTTTATTTTATTTATAAATAACAAATAGTTTAAATATGATTTTTTCATGAATCAGCAGAATCAGCGAATACAGCCACTTCAGTCAGAACTTCATAAATTTCAGCAGAATCAACCAATTCAGCCAGTTTAAGTGTTACGGGCTCATAATATATTTTAAAATGACACACATAGAGTATAAGAAAAATCCATAAGAGGTGTAAAATATGGTCTATCACTCTATCAGAATAAGAGTAAAAGAAGTCAAAATTCTTTTCATAAGAATTCGAATCACATTTCATTAAAAACAAAGATGATTATTCTATTTAAAGAATTTCTTTCATAAATATCTTACGTGTACCTTCATGTTCCATCTAATCTCTTAGCTCTATAAATACCTGATATGATCCCCCCCTATGTGGTTCTTAACCAAAGATGTTGCATATAGTCAACTAGCTCCTTTTCCTTTCACTATTATCGTCTAGCCAGAAATATATCAACATATCTATTTTATTTTATATACTTCGTATTTTATATATTTTTCTTATTTAGCACACATATATTAATAAATATACATATATCCATATTTAGAGTATGAAGAAGAGGAGAATGCCAGCCATGGCTGCAGATTACAGTCCAGGCCGCCACCTTCAGATCATCAACCTTCATAAAAAGGGGGAGGAAATTAAAGGGCTAATTAGGGTTTATGAAGATGGACATGTGGAGAGACCCCAAATTGTCCCAAACGTCACATGCGATTTGCCACCAGATTCTAGGGTCACCTCTATTGACGTGACTATAGATAAGTGTACAAAAATTTGGGCACGTTGTTATGTTCCAAAAAGGGATAGTGATAATAATCCTTCTCAGATGAAGAAGTTTCCTCTTATAGTATACTTCCATGGAGGTGGGTTTTGCGTCGGATCGGCTTCTTGGAGTTGTTATCACGAGTTTCTGGCAAAACTTGCCGGAAAATCGGTGTGTGTAATTGTGTCGGTAAGCTACCGGTTGGCGCCGGAAAGTCAACTTCCGGCGGCGTATGACGACGGCGTGAAGACAATCATGTGGCTAAGGCAGCATGCAAGGACGACAGAGACAAAGGGGGAATATTTTTGGTTAAAGAAATGTGACTTTTCTCGTACTTTCCTTAGTGGTGATAGTGCTGGGGGGAATATAGCACACAATGTTTCCATTAGGTTATGTCCCAAAAGTGAAAAGGAATTTAAGCACGTATTGCTAAGCCCTTTGGAGATAAAAGGGACCATTCTCATCCAACCTTTTTTTGGAGGGAAATCAAGAACCCACTCCGAGATATGCGCGGCCCAACCGCCACTCACGTTAGCCGACTCCGACGTGTATTGGCGGTTGGCGCTGCCTGCGGGGGCAAACCGAGACCACCCGTGGTGCAACCCGATGGTGGCCGCGGCAAAAGGGTATATGAAAGAGTTGAGGGTTCCACCAAGTTTGGTGTTCATATCTGAGTTAGATATGTTGAAGGATAGGAACTTGGAGTTCTGTGGGGCATTGAGTAGAGGTGGGAAGAAAGTGGAGGTTGTTGTGTGTAAAGGTGTTGGCCATTCATTTCAAATTCTTGATAAGTCACAACTAGCACAAACAAGAACTGATGAATTGATTGATCAAATCAAGGCCTTTACTGCTAGAAGCTAAATAGCTAGCTTGAATTTTTTAATAATAAATCATTTCCTAGATGACATGTATATATATATCTTTTATTTCTACAAAATGCTAAGTTAACACTTCTCTTACACAACACCTTTGAAACCATTTTCATTCTTTGCACACAAACCATTTTTATACATATGTTCACCCTTTTGTATGTGAATGTGTCTATATTCTACCAATAAACATCATACAAGTCTTAGTCTCAAAAGATTTTGGGTCGACAACATGATCGAATTGATACATGATATCAGAATCAAAAGAAAAAGTAAGATAAGAAAAATCATATATAATAGAGATAAGATATAGATAGGATAAAAAGTGGTAAAAAGAATGTATCTATATAGAAAGACAAAAAGATAAAAAGAAAGCATAAGAAAGAAAAGGAAGAGGAGGGGAAAAGGATGATAAGAAAAATAAAGATGGCGTTAAAGAGATGTAATTGTAAGTTGTAACATAACTCTTATTTCTATAATCCATGCGTGTTGTTTTTTCATTTGTTTTTCATATGTTAACTACTTGACATTAGTGCTTGGTCGCTATTGGTTACCATTTATTACCTCATTGCATAGATGATAGATCATCCCAGTAAGATAGATAAAGTTATATATTTAGCGGGTTTAATGCACCAAACTCCCCTGTGATATGGAAATTCGGCGCATTAGCCCCTGTGATTTAAAAAATGCGTCAAACCCTCTTGTTTTAAAATTAATTATGCGCAAAATCCCTTCAATGAACAAATCCAATTGTCAAATAAAAAAATGATTAATATTTATGTATGATTTAGAGATTTTGACATATTTACTTGCATATTCAATCAGAATATTAGGAAAAGTGATTTTAAAAACGTTAAGTTTATTCATAAAAGGGGTTATGTGCATGATTAATAAAACACAAGGGGGTTTGACGCATTTTTCAAATCACAGGGGCTAATGCGCTGAATTGCTATATTTGGGGTTTGATGCATTAAACCCTATATTTATTAGCCCAGTAACTTACATTTGTGCCTATTACTAGTTTTGTATGCATAAAAATTTAATGTGAGATACAGTTTTTTCTATGCATTTTCTGCAGGAAATGGTATACTCTAATTAAAAAGTCCTTGGTGTGAATACATTTATTATTGCTGAATATGATCTCTAGGTAAAGTTATAAAACTAATCATTAAGGTGCAAATTGAGCGAGGAAGGTGTGCTTTTACATCTATTGAGATGATGTGTTAGTTATTTATTGTAGCCGATATATATAATGGATATGCCTGTTTGGTGATGTATTAATTAATGATTTAATGGTAATAGGCATAGCCATTAGACCCACATCGAAAGTTATGTAATAGTGATGTAATATTAATAGTCATAGCCCCACACCAAAACAATATAGAGACCTTTATAAGAAGCTAGATTTTGTTATAGATTAGTGTGTGTTTTGACTAAGTTGGATTAGCGTGCCCCAAGTATGAATTCTATCGATATTACCATATTCCATGAGGGGCTAAAAAGAATGCATAAAAAAGGAAAATAAAAATTATGCCACCTCACCGAGTCAACTGCTAGAGAAGGTAATGCATCAATTATTGTGTTGCAAGAGCATGTATGTTTATGTGATTGCATTTTTAGTAAAAAAAGGCTTTGAGAAGATGGATTTGCAATATGAGAAGCACTTTTTTTTATGTATGTTTATGTGTTTGCATTTTTAGTAGAATGGATTTAGCGTATGGATTTGCAATATTAGAAGCACTCTTTTTTATGTATGTTTATGTGAGTGCATTTTTAGTAGAAGGCTTTAGAAGATGGATTTGCAATATTAGAAGCGCTCTTTTTATGTATGTTAATGTGATTGCATTTTTAATAGAAAGGCTTTAGAGGATGGATTTGCAATATTAGAAGCACTCTTTTTACATATGTTTATGTGATTGCATTTTTAGTAGAAAGGCTTTAGAGGATGGATTTGCACTATTAGAAGCACTCTTTTTATATATGTTTATGTGATTGCATTTTTAGTAGAAAGGCTTTAGACTTTAGAGGATGGATTTGCAATATTAGAAGCACTCTTATGTATGTTTATGTGATTGCACTTTTTATGTGATTGCACTTTGTATGTTTATGGATTTGTAATTCTTTATGTGATTTAAAAAATGTATCAAACAAATTCAGATTGTCATGCGCACAACACCCTGAATCAACAAGCAAGTTTGATCGTTTGACACTTTTACAATTATGCATCTTAGTTTATGATTAAACAAGCAAGTACATTTACCAACACCTCAAAATTTTAGAAAAATACTTCCTCCGTTCTCTTTTAATTGCAACAGTCAACATTTCACGTTTGCCAACGCACAAGTTTGACCATTAATATCTTTCATTCCATATTAGTAAAAAAATTTAATCATATTTTGAAAATCTATAATGAGAAGAATTTAACAATATTTTTGAAAAATTTAATTTAAAATACATTAATTAATAAAATATAATCAAAGTGGAATATGTGAATAGTGCAAAAAATTCAATGTTGCAATTAAAAGAGAACGGAGGTAGTACTTGACAAGATGGTTGGGTGAATTAAACCCCTAAGGAATCAATTATAAAAGAAAATGTTTTGAACTTAAGGTTAAACCGCTACTATTAAATTTTCAAACCAAAAATTATTAACGAGTACAGCACATATTTTCACTTTTATAAAATGGAGTCCATCCATTAGCATTTCAACTGTACGATTTGTCATCATGAAGATTTAGAAAAAGGCAATAGGCAGCTAACCCAATAACTGGGACAAACCGAAGATAATTTACCACCTTAACCTTATCCTTTTGAATGTTTTGCAAGTTGTCTCCTATGAGCCATGGTTGGAAAATCATGTAGAGGAAGATATCCCAGATGAAGGCGTAGGCAAGTCTTTCGGTTCGTACATAACTCACCAAGAACTCCCATCTTTCTGAAATGCCACCGAAGTAACCATCTGCTCCTCGGCCAAACAATGCCCAAATTGTTGAAACCAAACAGACACCAAAGCCAATTAGCCCGACAGTGCGTGCACCGCTGGTCATGGTGGAACCTAACCAGGAGGCCTTTCTTGGAACATCTTTGTCCATTCCATTCAGCCTTATGGCCATGTATGGTATTAAGAAAGCTGCATGATATACAAACATCTTAATTATTAATTGGAGTAAAATACATCCCCCCCCCTATATATCAGATCAGCAAAACTAGTCTTGTACTCTTGTTGTTATGTTTTTGTTGTTTTTAACACTGTTATTTTGCAATTCAGATGCATTAGTTTTTCTGTTGAGAGTTTATCCTGAATAAAACCCTTTAGTAAAGTGAACTAGTTGTGACATAACACTTAAATTAATTTTTTTTTGAACGAACACTTAAATTAATTTTTTTTTTGAACGAACACTTAAATTAAATTAAAAATTGCAAAAATGTACATCTGCGAACAAAAAATAAAACACAGGCAGTTAGCATTTTCTTAAAGATTGCATTTTTTATATTTAAACGGCATGTAAGCCAAATTTTCCAAATCCCCATTTTAAACTGTATTTTCTAGCGAATTTTTCAATATCTTGCAGCTGCAGATTAAATTATCAACATTTGACATGTAATAAGGTCTACACTTTAAATTGCCCAAAAATTAAAATCAGTGAACATACTGTTTGTGAGGAACATTTGGAAGCCCCACAGAACATCCAAAGATCCTTTATATCGATCACTCTTACGGTCAGTGAACAACAAAGGCGCAAACATAAATGTCCACCCAATAACAAAGTTGAATAACGCTTCAGATATCTGAGGATCAGTTGCACATTGATCAGCTATTAGCAGCTTGACAAATAATGTGTAATGAGTTCTTCATCAAGAGACAAGCATACAGCACAACAAAGTACTTACTGGATGTATCACCGGCGCCTCCAATAAGAAATGAATGCCAGCTACTCTGCCCAAATAGATTTTAATCACACACACAATTTATGTAGAAACAGACACAATAATGAGGCTTTCATAATAAGCATACACAAAGTTATGTGTCAATCTCAAACTACAGCAACGTTCATTGTAAAAACAATCTGAGAAACAAAAAAGAATCTATAAAAACTCATTAAATCACTCCAAGTACGGCTGTGATGTCACCGGAAAAAGGAAAACTTTGGTCCTTCCATTGTTTGAATTTAGCCGTTTAGTCCCTTAGGGTCATCCATGAGAAAATATTGAACCTTAACATATTTCAATTTGTGGTAATTTTAGTCCTTGTGATGATCAATCATCATTTACCTCAGTGCCGCAAAGGCTCCCACCTACGGTGGGGTAAAGGGGGGTCGGATGTACGCAGTCTTACCCCTGTACTAAAGCACAGAGAGACTGTTTCCGGATGACCCATAATGAAAATCGCTTCCAAAATTGCATGGACTAACTGTTGCTTCATAACAAAGAAGAGCAAACAGTTTGATGAGTCATTTTGCTTTATTCCATCATATTCTCATCCCTTGCAGTTTGGTGAGCAGACAGTCCTTGTGATGATACACTCAACTTATTAACTAGTACACCTTCCTCTCTCAAACAACTGATAAAAAGGATTTCTTTTTTAAGTGATCATTGATTTTGACATAAATTTAACAGCACCTCATATTCCCTAATGATGTTTAGGTAATAGAGTAAAGAGAAAAAGTGACACAACTATGGAAGGAAAGTTTGTCATTTCATTATGCTTAATGGAGAGCTAAATGGCAACTTATTTGTGAAGAAAAGAAAGAATTCCACTTTTGGTATCATAAAAATCTTATATTAGGTCCATGTCTTTGATTTTCCCCACAGTTCAGGGCCGGCCCTGCCCATGTGCAGCAGGTGCGGCCGCACAGGGCCCTTGATCATAAGAGGGCCTCAAATTTTTATAATGTTTTAAGTATTAGATACAATCATCTCCTTTATGGGTGTCTACAATTGTTAGGCGCACAAAGTTATGAGTTATGACTACGTATGTTCTATTTTCTCTGGTCATTTGTAGAATTGTAGGTAGGATCATCCCGTTCTTAAAGCCCGTTTCAAAGTGCAAATAAAATAATTTTATATGCAGATATTTGTGTTGTAGGATGAAAATGTGGTTTTTACAATGAAAATGTTGGGAACCGGTGCCTGATATAATCCGTATGACTTATGAAGCACCATAGGAATTTCCTGAAAAGCAAAAACCGGCATCAAGCAAAATTATTCTATAAAACAGCCATGATAGTCCAAATAAATAAACCTTTCTTCATCCTCCAAAAGAGACTCTTTTTATAAACAAACATACATTGTAAGAAACATAAATAATCCGGTTCTTAAGGCCTGTTTCTTTTATTTTATTATTATTATTATTATTGAATATTTTTATTTCATTATTAATAACTAAATTTTATTTTATTTTTTGTTAAAATTATGTTTTACTAGGTATATGTCAGGGCCTCATATGCAATTTTGAACAGGGCCCTTTATATGTCAAGGCCGGCCCTGCCACAGTTGGTACCGGACTATTTTTTATTTATTTCCCCCTATGGCCCTATACTTAAGATCTCCTGAGAAGTACCAAAATTTTGATCAGAAAGACTGCAGTCTGCAGGTGGTCAAAGAACAATAGTCATGTACAACATGTGGGCAAAATGAAATGCATGGACCTAATGATAAATTGGTATATACTTTTAAGACCAAAAGCAGATTTCTTTCTGAATAAAAAATTTAGTTAATACCTCTATGGCTCTATATTTATTTGAGATCAAATGGGATATAATATATGCCTCGTTTTCACGAGTGGGACAGTTCATAATATTAGAGGGTGCCATTTGCTAACCATGAAAAATGAAAATGGAGGACTAAACTGGCTAAAAACTAATACAGTTTAGGATGGAAAATTGCACTTTCACTAAAACTAATGATTACAAAAGCAATTGCATTTCAAAGTTTTACATGGACTTAATACAAGCTAGACTACTAGACCAATGAAATTGTAAATCAGGCAACACCAAATGAACTAAGAAACATGAAAAATTATGATGTGAGGCAATCCCTTACAAAGGTTTATCTTATCAATGAAGTGAGCCACTCAAAGAACTCAAAGTCATCTTAACTCTTAATCGAGAAGCATACCATTGTTCAATAGGGGCAAAATGAAGAAGAAGTTCAGAGAAAGGCCAACCAGATGATTCACTGTGTCTGAACTGATTGCCCATACGGGGTCTCCCTGCACTACAACAAAGATGAATCAATGAAGGAAAATGTAAGTATAAAAAGCATGACAGTATGTCAAGATAAAGAAGGTAGCAGAACCCACTAATTAATTAATTACTTCCTCTGCTCTCTTAAGAGTCATTTAAAGTGTTTTCACATCTACACATAATATGACTAGAATTTCCCTATTATAGGAGGGTAACAGTAGTAAATGCTCTATTCTAAACCAACCCTCATGTGACCACAATTTCCCCTCTAGAGCGACGGTTATAAGAGAGGATGATTATTGCTAAAAGTAATTAAAAGAAAGGTTTAATTTTACTAGGTCTATCAAACAATCTTTCTCCTGTCCAATATAAACTATAAAAATGAATCCTACAATAAGAGTCTGAACTTCTGGTAGCACCTAAAATAACTATCAACATAGAAGAGAAACTAGGTAATGCACCTTATTCCCTAAGATTCCCTGCTAGTATTATTTCTCAACATAAAACTTGCAGATGATCCCAATAATATTGCAAAATCATGTGACAAAATGGGTTCCTAAGCTCCATACAACAGTAAACCCACATCCCAGAAATTTCTTGCCCTAAGCTAAGAGTTTGATATCTAAAATTCCTAATGGTTCCTTCAAGAAACTAACTTTTCTTCCATCAAGTTAAGGGTATATATATAAGTTTGAAAGGAAATGTTTGTCTCTAAAGTACTAAAATGCCGAGCAGGTCCAGGAGTTTAATAATACACAGAATTGTAATTACTAATTAGCACATACAGTTCATAAAAATGATACTGATAACTTAAAACACAAATATTAACACAACATATAGTGCGAGTTAGCGGTAGCAATACATTACCGGCGCATAGGGGAGTAAAAAAAGCCAAAGCACATAGATTCCCTCTGCAATCCATAGAGCTGCCTGTATTAATCTCCTCCTCTGAACATTCTCGTTGCTTTCCGAAATCGACCCATCACCATCTCCGCCGGATTCCACCGTAAGAAGGGAATTACGGCGTCTCCAATGGAGTCTGCTGAAATTGAAAATTTTGCCTCGGTGCAAGAATCCGAATTCTTCGCTAGCACGATGCAGCTTCGTAGTCTTGATGTGAGCTATGCCTTTTATGCTTCCCCGTGATAAGAGTTTAGATGGCCGCGTCAAAGAAGTAGTGGATAGCAAAGTAACCGTCGCCATCGACGGCGGTGGCCGCAAGTTACCTCCGGCTAGTAACTTCGTTAAGCCGTTAAGCGTTCTCCACCCGTTGTGGATGACATGACCAATTAGCCCTTTTTTACTAGCCCGTAAGCAGAATGGAAACTACTGTGCGGTGCCCGTAAACTACTAGCCCAAGAGTATAATAAATAAAACATGGGGGGTAGCTTTAGTAACCGGCGAGTTAAGAGGCTATTGTGCGTCCTAAGTAGGGAATTAGGTGCTGTTCTGTTCGTCTTATTCTTATTACTTATTGCTTATTCTTATTTTATTCAGATCAGATCAGATCAGATCAGAAAAATTCAGATCAGATCAGATCAGATCAGAAAAATTCAGATCAGATCAGATCAGAAAGATTCAGATCAGATCAGAAAGATTCAGATCAGATCAGACCAGATCAGAAACATTCAGATCAGATCAGATCAGAAAAGTTCAAACATGATTTATCACTTTTATTATTATATTAATTATTATTATTAATATTGTTATTACAATTATGATTATTATTATTATATAATTATTATTAATAATATTAATAATAATATGATAAAAAAATAAGATATTAATAATAGTTATAATATTTTAATATAATAATAGTAATATAAATGTAATTATTAAGAAGACTATTATTATTATTATTATTATTATTATTATCATCATCATCATCATCATCATCATCATCATCATTATCATTATCATTATCATTATCATTATTATTATTATTACAATATAATAATAATAATATGATTAATGTTAATATAATATTATATTATAATTATATGTAATTATAATTATAATTACAATTATAATTCTTATAATTGTAAGTATAATCAATTGTATTTATTATAATTATATCTATAAATATTTATAATTATAATTGTAATTAATTATAATTATAATAATTATAATTATAATTATAATTACAATCATAATTATAATTATGATTATAATTATAATTATAATATAATATTATAATAATATAATACTAATTATAATAATAATAATCATATTATTATTATTATATTATTCTAATAATAATATGAATATAATAATATCATTATTATAATATTAATTGTATTTATATTACTATTATTATATTATAATATTATAATTAATGTTAATATAATTATAATTATTATTAATTATAATTATAATAATTATAATTATACTTATAATTATAATTTATGATTATAATTATTATTATTATTATTATTATTATTATCATTATTATTATTACTATTGTAATTATTTTACGGAGTAATTATAATAATATTGATAACTATAGTTACAATTATAGAGATAAATATTGTAATTATAATTACAATTATAATTATATAAGTAATTATAATTAAAAATATAATTACAATTATAATTATATCTATATTTATAATTAGTGTAATAAGTATAAATTTTTTCATTTTAAATTTAATTTTAATTATTATTATTATTATTATTATTTTTATTATTATTTTTATAGTTACGATTATAATTATAATTTTATTTACATTATATTTGTAATTGCAATTATAATAATTATAATTATAATTATAATCATAGAAATATTCAAATCAGATCAGATCAGAAAGATTCAGATCAGATCAGAAGGATTCAGATCAGATCAGAAACATTCAGATCAGATCAGACCAGATCAGAAACATTCAGATCAGATCAGAAAGATTAAGATCAGATCAGATCAGATCAGATCAGAAAGATTCAGATCAAATCAGATCAGATCAGAAAAATTCAGATCAGATCAGATCAGATCAGAAAAATTCAGATCAGATCAGAACTTAAAAAATTCAGATCAGAAACATTCAGATCAGGCGAAGAGAACAGCTTCTTAGCCGTCGATTCTGTTTACTTCAGACGCCTTATTTCAACATCCTAAACAGCAAAGTAAACGGTTCCCAAGAGTATTACAACAATATTAGGGGATGTCAAAAAATCGGACCCACAATAATCCGCCCTGGCTCGAGACATTCGGGGCGGGTAAGACATTCGGACCCACAGGTCACGGGGCGGGGTGGGGCGGACCCGCCCCGCCAAGTCACGGGGCAGGTCTGGGTCTTGCAGTACCCGCCCCGACCCATTGCCAATTTTTTGGCTTAAATTATAAAACTAGATTCGATTGGAAAGTTTTATGATTTTAATGTTATTTTTGAAGAATTCAAATCGTATCAGTTAGAACTAAATTTAAGAATTCAACTTCTACCCTCTAAATTTAAAGAACTAAATTTTTATCTGGTTAAACTCGCATTTTTAATATCACTTTTTCTAACAAGATCTAGAGTATCTCTTCTTTCTATTCTTAAAGCAATAGAATTTTTGTTCTCTCATATTAATTTGATCCTTTAATTCCTGACCATTTTTCCTTCCAAAGTACTCTATACTTCCATGTATAGTCAGGAACATGTGGTCAATAATCACTTCATGGTGACAACTGACATTAACCAACTTTAGGATGCCATCTAATTTCTCAAACTCGTTTTAAGATTCGAGTCAACTGGAACCCAAGAACGCCAAACTTTTGATAGCAAAAAAATGTATCTTAGTTACCATAGCTGGTAAGTTGGAACTTTGAAACCTAGATTAGCTTGCATGAGAGAACATTTGAATTGTGATGAAACCATCTGCTTATAAGAAGAAATAGAAAGTTATCTAGTTTTATCACTGATCTAAAGAGCTTGATCTTAGTCTTTATTTAAAGATTTTCCAAAAACAGACGTATTTTCTCGTTTCAATATTATCTTCATTCTTTCATTTTTCATGTCTGAATATAAACTTTATTTCCTTTTATGTCAAAAAAGTCATGTTTTATATTATTTCTCTCATTTGTATAACTCTCAACCACGTAATTTTCACTTTTTATATGCAAAAGTCAAAATTGGAGTTAATATTGGGATAGATGCACGGAGTATCACTCTATTTACTTTTGAATCTTTTTAAGAATAGGCTAATTCATTAAAGTTTTCTTTTCAAAAATAAAATTAGTGAAAAGTTATTTTGGGGTGAAGATGTAATAAAATATCTTAGAGTGAAGATGTAACAAAATAAGTAAAACTGTTTCAAGTGTAACAAAATCAGTCATCTCCATCTTTGGTTCTTTGTTTTCTTTGGTTGTATAAAACCATATTTATAATATGGGAAAGTTCCTTGACAAAGATACTCTGATTAAGTATAAAACTTTAAAAAGATTACAAAAAATACATTAATCAAAATCATTAGCTAATCAAAGTTTTCACATCAAGAAAGTCAACAAGGAAAATTTTGTGTGGGCATGGGAGTATGCGTTTGTATTTTTTTTTACTCTAGGGCCGTCTTGGAAGGGGGTTGGGGGGCCTGGAGTGATATGGGCTGAAACTCACTCCATTGAGTTTTGAACCAGATACCCCCCGTAAGGGAGAGTATGCGTTTGAATACATTTGAAATGATATTGGTAAAATTATTTGTGATTCTCTTTCAATTGACTTGGATCATTGCAACTTGCAAGTTCAAATAAGATAATTAAAAGCTGGCTCAAGAAATTGCAACTTTAACTCTGGATTTGCTGAAATTTTATTTTTACTTCATTTTTTCAGCAGAAAATAACATTGAACATTAATTCATCACATATTCAACAGCTATAATAACATTGAACATTAATTCATCACATATTCAACAGCTATAATAACATTGAACATTGAACAAGCCTTCAATCTCTTCTAACAAAGCCTTCAACATATTATATTATATGAAGTCTCCATATCAGACATGCACTCTCAACCTTATCATCATATAGTATCCATGAATAAACTAACAAAATCTGCACTCAGCTAGTAGAGTTCTGAATCTTTGGATGTTCTTTTGTCACCAACGATAAGTCGGTTTGGTTCTGGCCGAGGTAGTAGGGCTCTTATCCTCATGAAAATCATTTGTAACTGTATCTTCATTAACATCTTTAGTGTCAGTAAGGTCTCTTTCTTCATTACCTCCTTGTGGAGATTTTGCTTTGTGCAACCTGCTGGGAGTGTGTGGTGAATGATCAGAACAATCACAACCACCGCCACTTCCACCAGATTCGTAACGCGATAGTTCCACAGCAGCTCTGGCTGCTGCTGCTGCATAAGCTGCTGACTCAAACGCTGCTTGGGCAGCATCAGCCACATCCGTGTACTTTCTTCTATTCACTTCCATTTCTGCATTTTGATCTGACACGGGAATATGATGATCTGCCCGGTCTGGCCTATTCCCATCACACTTTTGCCCCTGCAATCACGACTAGCACATCATTATCTGATGAAGCAATAGATCTTAAGCATACCATGTTAAGCATAAGGTTGAAATTTTCCAAAGGAGCTTTAGGTGGATGATGATTATGCCATCCTTATTAGGTAGGGTGCTTTGAGAATTGAGAATTGAGATACTTTGATCATTTTATGTAACACCCCTACCCCTCATGTACTCGACAACTCGTCAATGAATCTAACTACTGGTCACTCTCGAGGTTCGGTACTATCCTCGCTCGTGAGCAAATTAGTCGAGTTCATCGTCCTAAAAAAGAATGCTTATCATAGAACTACCCCCAAGAAGTCTGCTTAGATACAGAATCCTTGACAAATGGTTCCCTTATAAGAAGATGCATTTTATATGTAATACAAACCACAATACTAAGGTGAAGTGTGTTGATGTTCCGCTACAGACCGCAATACTTGTAATCCTTTTTAAATTCTTTTCATCTCTCTTATGAATTCAGGGTATTGCATATTAATTAGTATGTGTATAAACAAAGAAAATAAGGTGTGAAGTGTGTATGTATACCTTGGTTGATTCTTCATCTGTGTCATCTATCTTCAGAGTAATATTGTTTTCCTGTGCAATTTCTTTAAGGACCATCAATCTGCTTTCGTAGCTAGGCGTTCTAGTCGACAGCTTTTGAATCATCTGCGCGTAATGTGACATCAAATTGTGTTTCTAAACATATTGTCATAATGATGTCAAAGGAAAAGAACATGCTTAGCTTCTTTTTTCACAAGTATATACTCAAGAATATGAGATGAAATTTATAATGTAGGTTACATGCATATAGTAATACCTTTGGATTGACTCCACAGTTGTTCCTTAGGTCAACAGCTCTGGCTGTAAATTCCTTTCCAAATTTTGTGGAGAAAAGCACTTGAAGCTCTTGAAGTTCAGGAAAATCCCCACACCTTGAGGCTGCAAAGATCAAGCTGGATATTGCTTCCTTTAACTCATCTGGACAATCCCTGTTCAATGTCAATAATACTAGAGGTTAGACATTAATAAGAGGCCTAAATCCTCACTAAAACATTAATAATACTAGAGGTTAGACGTAGAACATGACAATATCTTCATATAATCATATGTATGAGAGACAATACTCCTTGTCTCGATTTAATGTGATTAGACATCATTCCAACATAAGAGGAGTCTTGTGGCACATGTTAAGGCGTTGCTGCGTGACCGAGAAAGGTCAAGGGTTCATGTCTTGGGACTAGCTGTCAAAATTTGACAGGAGAAGACTCGCCCCTTATACGCCCTTGTTGTGGCACTCTTTCCCGGACTCTAGCCTTGCATCAATGTCTTCGTGCACCGAGCTACTATTTTCTTCTATGGGCATTATTCCAACAGTTCACTTAATTTTTTTTCTTACCTTGGTTTTGCACTCCCTAGTAATATTTTATATTCTGGTTCGCTCTTCGCGTCAATAGAATTTTATAGGTTTTAATTATGTAAATCTTATTTATTCACATGGATATAAAAATGTTGAATAAAAGTTGAGTTTATCATGTGTTAAAAAAGGTTGGACCCAGTTAAACTGGATAGGAAGGTCACTAGCTTACTTTTGATGTTCTAACTGGATGACCCTTTCTAGCAGCAGATAGCAATAGCCTTCTACCATAAGCAACACATCCAACATGTTCTGCTCCTTTATCACTTGCTCTACCTAAAACAAATTAAATCCAAACATTTGTGTATGATGTATCACAAATATATTGTTGAATTGTCCAAAAGAAATCCAATCATGTAAAGTCACGTAACTAGTTCATAAGATTAAGGAACAAGTACATGTATATGAATTATAATTTGGAAAGACATTATTATGACAAGTTTTTTCCGTTCAAAAAATGTGTCCAAGAATCAAAGAATTAAATAAATTCAAATTTCTTGTCCCGTTAACTCTACCTTTCACCTTCTTCCGCTGCCACTATGGTTGGAGAGTTTTTTCTGTAAAATTGAAAATATTGAAAGAAAAAGACGATAGGGACCACAAAGCTCCTCCATCAAAAGGTTATTAGATTAAAAGTCAACGGAAAAAGTTGTTGACGACATTTACAGCCACACTTTGTGTAGTACGTGTGACGTAGGGGTGCACCGGGCGGGTTGGGTCGGGTTTGCTATATTTTTTTAGCCTACCCAATTTATTCGGGTTGGCTATTTACCAACTCGTGGTATGAAATATAAGTTGGTAAACCATGCATGAACGGATCGAGTAGGGTCGGGTATTGAAAGGAATTTATTTCGGGTTGAATCTTTAATATGGACAACTAGTTTATAAGAGTAAACCATGCATGCAATATGAATCTCGGTTAACTTGTTTCTCAAATACACAAACAAATTCAAGTACTTTTTATAAGAGTAAACTTAGGGAAATAGTGTCAAAACATTCTTGCTTAAAGGAAATTAATCTAGAAGCAAATATATATATAGACAAATCACCTAGTCCAAATGGTAAATGTTTATAATGCTAAAATCATAGTCTTAGATAGAGCACAACGGTCTTCAATAGAAATTATCCAACTAAACTTTGTAGCATAATATTAAATAAATTGAACTTTCGACCGGGTCGGGTACTATCGGGTTTGAGATTTTAATTTCGCAACCCTACCCATTATGTGCGGGTTCGTATTTATTTAACCCGTGAATATTTTTAAAAATCAAATACCCGACTAAAAGTGATCGGGTAGGGTTGGGTCGGGCAGGTTATGCGGGTTCGGGTTATTCTTGTGCAGCCCTAGTCTGACGTAGTATATTTTTAATCCTCCAATTTTCATAAAATGACATTTTTAGTCTTCATATTGACAACTTTTGTGGTTCCTTTTTCTTTGGCAAAATCACTTATTATGGCTTGGATTAAAAGTGTCTCTCACATTATTCTGAGCAATAAAAGTGAAAAAAATCCAAAGACTTGTTTGGCATTTAAGGTTAGCGAGTTATGTTAGCAGTTGTCAAAGGCGACGAGTTTGGCTAGCGGGATAAGTTGGTGTGTTACCAGAAGATGTTTGGTAATCTAACGGTTCGGCCATAAAAATTAGTTGAAAACTCCTTTTTTTAAAACGTTAACTCAAAACTCTCCTATTTGCAACGTTTTCATTTCAACGATTTTGTTCAAAAACGCTAGGGCCAAACAATTATTTATCAAATAAAGTTTTCATTAATTGAAAATGGTAATTAAGAGTGGTCAAACCGTCATTTTTTTTTGCAGAAACGTCATTTCCCATTTTTCAAACACCCCCAAAGTCTACCCAAAAAGTGACGCTCAAAGTGACAAAAACTCTTATTTTGTGCATGTATAAATGAAGTCACATTTTTTGAGGAAAAGTCAAAAGTTGACTAGTATACTTACACGAAGAAGAGCCCTTTGATGGTGAGAAAGGTGTAGGAGCTGAAGGACGTCGGAGCGGGCGATGGAGCACCGTGCATGGCGCTGCTTCTTGAGAACGGCGACGCGGGAAACGGCGAGGCTTGCGGTGGCTCTGAACTTGCCGCCGCTCTTCTTCAGATTCTTTCCAAAGAAAGCGTCAATCCTCCTTCCCATCGTTTTACCCGCTGGCTAGCTTTTGAAGCTCGATCAATCTCCGGCTTGGACTGGCTTAATCAGCTGAGAGTTCTATATATCAACTCTAGCTCGTTTATTTATTAATGGTGAAGAATTAGTACCATATCGTTTTCTTGTATGCTAAGTCTTTCCTTGGATGGAAATAATACTAGTAAGAAATTTCGCAGGCAATTGCAGCTACAACGCGGTTGTATCACTTTCAGCGTACGTGTATGGACCGAGTAATACTAATTAAGTTGCTACTAATTATCACAATACCATACTAATACGTACTCTCACCAAATTTAACTTGAGGAAATAATTATTTTACACGAAACATTGCAAAATATTTGAACAATCACATTAGAAGAGAGCAATAGTAATTATAATAATAATTTGTGGTAACAATTACTCCCTACTTTCATTTTTATTTAGCGAAATTTGATTTTTCAAGTGTGATAATATAAGAATGGTATGTCAAAGTTTGATTTTAGCGAAATTCTTAAAAATAATATCGTAAAAGTATAAATTTATTAAATTTCACATAAATATATTAGTTAAAATAAATGATTAGAATTTACCATTTTTCACTGGAAAAGTTAAAAATGGCTCAAAGGGACGGAGGTAGTACTACTATTGTTTTATGAATAAAATTCACTTTTGATCTTACGAGTATTGCATCAATTTCACAATTGGTCCACGTTTTTCATCAATGTTTGTGGTTGTTAAAATGGGGATAACAAATGATCTAAAACATTAATTAATCATATATGTTATTATTGGCGATGACTCGATCTGCTTGTTGGTTTGCCGTTTATCAAAAAACCGGGCCAGCTTTCTCGTGGCTCAGAAAAGTGTGAAGCCATGAACTTTGGAAAAACTAATGACTCGGTATATCTGAGAAGATATTAGATCGATTGATTCAGTTACATATAGTGAGAAGCTTTTTCCTTCACAATTCACAAATGGTAGGAAAAATATATAATAGTTGCAACATTGAAATTTACACACCATTCATGTACACTACTTTGACTACATTTTATTTATTAATGTATGTGAATTATTTTTTTGAAAAAAATTGTTGAATTCGTCTCATTACAAAGTTTCATAATCTGATTTTTAAAAGTTTTTTACTAATAGAGAGTTAAATATAATGATAATCAAAGTTGTGCATTGGCAATCGTGAAAAATGTAATGTTCCAACTAAAAAAGAAGGGAGGAAGTATAACATTTTCTTTTATTGAATGACAAAGAAAATTATTACATGTGCAAAAGATAACATTTTTCCTTGGTGTATACGAAGTATTTAAAGATATGCAAATTTTTCTTTTTTATACATAGTATTAGTATATGTCACATATACTAATGTGACATTGTGACGAGACCGATTCGGTATTATTGTATTAAACTATTAACCAAATAGATCGATCATATTCTAATTGACTCACTATTTGGTCACTTGACCAGGTGAGTTCCCAAAAAAGGATGAAGCTTCTAAAGAGTTAAAAGATTCCATTAACTCAAGGCTCATTCTTCAATTAAAAAAAACGAATGAAAGCTACATTAGTACATTACACACAATTAAAACGTTCACATACACGCATTGATATATACATATATCGTCACTAACTTATTAACATCTGTCTGTAGATATAAAAATAAAACTTTGTGAACTGTACATGGCATGGATAGGGACAGGGCCGAGATATAGTACAAATAGTAACATTTTAAAACTCAAATAGTAAAATGCAAAATTTAAAAATCAAAGATTTAACTCGTGGTAATCATTGTTAATTAATTTTGTATACTTCATATATAACTGAAAAATATCAATTCTAGAGCCTATATAAAATGTGATTACTATTAAAAGTTGAAAGAGTTTTGTACAGAAAATGATTTTGAATAATTAAGAATTTTGGTTAAAAAATGCATTTTGTGTGAGAAAAAGTAAAATAGTTCTCCCTTTGATTGTAGCATTTGGCTTTAAACATTTAATTCAAGTAGAAAAACCTCTTTAAAAACATTAATTTTAGTTTTTTGATGCTAAAAGTTGATTTTTTTTTAGAAAATGCATCGTATATACATTGGATGAAAAAAGCCAATTAGCAAATACACGAACACCTTAACTTTATTTTACTTGCTGAAAGCCCATAAATGTGACACTCCTCATGATATTGCTAAAACTCAATAGTAGGAGAGAGGGCAAATAAAAATTCTACACTACTACTACTAATAATAATAAGGGAAAACTGTCAAATAGGTCCTCGAACTTTCATAAAAAGGTCAATTAAGTCCTTCTATAGGAGGTTCTGTGCGGCCGTCGAGATTTGGGGCAGTTCACGGTGGAATTTTTTGATGAAATTTTTTGAGCATCTTATTCACCAAGTCTAGTTTACTCATATCAAATTTCAGCTAAAAATTCAATCGGGAACACATTCAAATTAATTCTTGAAGATAACTGCGCATTTTTGCGTTCTCGAATTAATTTGAGTGCACTCCCGATTAAATTTTTAGCTGAAATTTGGTATGAGTAAACTAGACTTGATGAATAAGATGCTCAAAAAAATTCATCAAAAAATTCCAACGGGAACCGCCCCAAATCGCGATGACCAGACAGAGTCTCCTATAGAAGGACTTAATTGACTTTTTTATAAAAGTTCGGGGACCTACTTGATAGTTTTCCCTAATAATAATATCGGGGGGAAGGGGCATGGCCCCCTTGATCATTAACCAACGTCCGCCCCTGTATATAGAGGAAAAGGCCAAGCGAGTACGTAAAGTTGTAAGGCATGAAGTAAAGAGTGGATCACCTTGCACCTAGGGGTGGACTCGGGCCGGTTCGGGCCCGGATCGGGCCTGGGCCCGGCCGGGCCTCGGGCCAGAAAACTAGGGCCCGGGCCCGAACCGCCGGTGGGCGGTTCCGGTTCCGGTTCCGGGCCAAACCGGGCCGGGCCGGGCCGGGCCAACCGGTATATTTTTTTTTTTTTTGGTTCTCCTTTTTAACCCCCTACCCCTCCCCCTCAACCCCAAACCACCCCAAACCATCTCAAATGGCCCAAAATACCTAATCCAACCCAAAACTTAAAAAAATTTCAAAAAAAAAAAAAAAAAAAAATCCGGCCCGGGCCGGGCCCGAACCGGCCGGGCCGGTTCACCAAAATCAGGGCCCGAGCCCGGACCGCCATACCACCGGGCCGGGTGGCCCGAACCGGTGCACCAACCGGTTGACCGGGCCGGTCCGGGCCCGCACAGTAGCGGGCCGGTCCGGTTCCGGGCCGGTTGGCCCGGCCCGAGTCCACCCCTACTTGCACCTCAAACGTAAATTTTCATATAATCTCGTGTTAGTGTAAAAGTAGTACAAATACGAAGCTAACGTTAAAAAACACTAATGTGGCAATCAATAGTTGTTCATTCCATCGTATATGTCATTCGTGCTCTTCCGCTTCTAAATTCAGTCATTCGTGTAACCTCTTCTTCTCTTGTGGTGAATTCCTTACTCTTTCTCATTTATTTCGCTTACTAACCACAAAGTTGATGTGTAATGTTCTTCCTCTATTCGTTTTTGTCATTTAACCGATTTGAGTATGATATTTGGGTGACAGAGTGGTCTTCTTGTCAGGCCGGCCTGACGGGATGCTCTGTCTGGCCGAGCCCGTTTGGGCACCTTCCCAGTGGAATTTTTGATGAAATTTTTTGAGCATGTTCCTCATCAAGTCTAGTTTGTCCATACCAAAATTCAGCTCAAAATTCGATCGAGAAGGCATTCAAATCTTTTTTTGAAGTTGACTGCGTTTTTATATGTATATTTTGACGCAATCAACTTCAAAAAAAGATTTAAATGTCTTCCCGATCGAATTTTTATGGAGTATTACATATTCAACAGAGATAGTTATTAATTTCTATATTACTTCACCTAGGCAATATACAGCTTATTATGGGCTTTTATTGCTGTTGGACAAATTGAGATGCTGGGTGACGGTGTTAGTTGAATCGCCTTTCTTGACATATACTACATTAACAATGATGTAAATACTTCATAATTCAAATAAGGTTGTTTAACAAGTCAATTCAAAGCACCGTGTGATTTACTTGAACATATCTCAACACTAATTTGTCACCTTCCAGACCCAATCATCATATCAGAATACACATTCGGTATCCAAATCCAAGTTAAATTAAGCATTTAGCAACTCCTTTCTCAAACCATATTGACAACAATAGTACAATAATAACAGCCCTCACTCTTCAAACTTCAAAGGGCTCGCAAGTCACAATGCACGTCAGCGAACTATGTTTCATCAAATAAAAGGCAACAAGCTATCCATCACACGTTTTCACCAATTTATAGTTGTACTCCATATTTCTATACTTGGAAGTGGGATAAATTACTATTTGGCCCCTTACAAATCGATCATATGTACTAACTCGACCTTGTATTTCAATAGGTTAATTAGTTATCCTTCAAGTTTTCAATTAAGCCCCCGAACTAAAAACACAATCAATTGAGACCTCAAACTTTACAAAAACATTCAAAATCAAAATTTTACTCCGTATTGGTTAATTGCCGGTCAACCGGTCACTTGCCTACCTGGCTTGTTTTTTAATTTTTCACTCTCTTTTTTTCTCCTTTTTTCACCTTCTTCCGCCAACATCTTGCTCTGTTCTCTCCCTTTCTCTCTTCTCGCCGGTTCTAGTTTCTTCTTCCTCTGGTGCCTCCCTTCTTCTTCCGTATTTCTCTTGTTCTTTCTCCTTTTCTTCTTCCGCCCAAACCTTCCCTTCTTCTTTCTTGCGAGCAGATCGAGCAAACCCCTGAGCTCTGTCCATTGCCGGTGACTTATCTTCCTCGCCCGCGACTTGGGTGGCAAAGCTCTTGAGCTTCCTCATCGGCGGAGACGACTTCGTCTTCAACACATGTCATTGGCGAGACCATACAAATTAATGTAGGATATCAACGACGACTTCTTGTTGCCTTTGAAATTGAAAACATCGATCTATATGAAATCCATGGTGCCATAGTTTCTTGCCTGGGACTCTGGGAGAAGTAAGAAGTAGGGGCGGAGCCAAGACCCTGGGCCAGACTGGGCCGGTACATAGAATATTTTTGAAAATTTTTTTACACACAATTTTTTAAACTAAAAATAAAGACATTTTT